AACCGCTCTGTAGCTGATCCCCACACCGCACCTAGGCAGTGCCAATTCTGTTCCTTGGCTATTTCATTCTACTCCAGTATTAAGGTCTTCCATATTAAGGAAGCAGTAGGTTGCAGAGTAGTTGCCTGTCACTCACTTCTCGTCCTCATTGTTTTGTTTCTCTGCCCAAAAGTAGCATCATGTATAATCTGGAGTATGCAATAGGTTGGTAAATTATTAGTAGATTATTAGTTCATTTGCAGGGCAAATTTGCTGAAGTTCTGCTCAGCATGTGTTTTCACACTTAAAAGAGCTACTGCACCCTTGCTGTGTTTGAAGGGCATTTTGTTGTTGTCTGTCAATATACTGATAGCTAAGACTTCAAGCCCATAGTTGTCCTTTTCTGTCTAATCTGTGAAGTTTTTTCTGCTTTAATCTTGTGTTCAGATTCCAGTAGACAGCTTTTGGCAGAAAGAGCATCTAGGGAAGAAAACCAAGAGCTCTACTCACACTGAACTGAATATCAAAATCCATTAAACATGTTAGCATGCCTGAACTAACAAGTAGGTAACTGTAAAGGTACCAAGATAAACATTCAAAGCATTAAGTTGAATCACACCAAGAGATACTCAAATCTAGCTGTCTTTTATCCTGTATTCAAATGTTAGTTAGCATGTTTTTATTTCTAAGAAATACTGATGAACTGAATCCAGCTGAATGTAAGAGCATGTGGTGTTAGTTACATGGTGTTATGTCCATTGCTCAACCAAATCACAAATATCGTGAGGTGCTGTATTGCTCTCACAAGAGGGCGCTCAAACCCTGTGAAAAAAATTCTGGTTGAAGGCCCGAAAGTTAAGATTCTGCATTTTCTGATATTTTTTAAGGGTTTTTTGTGGCTGTGGAATGATACTAGTGCAAAACTAGAGCTGGATAAGAGTTAGAATTTAATTTTTGAGAGCAAGGAAAAAAATCCCATTTGGAAAGCAGTTACAATCTTGGAAGATCTAAGTTAGACCAGGAGAAAGATGTGCAGTTCCTACCGTAACTCAAGGTACCTGTGAGTACCTATCAGACTTCTTTTGTTTTCTTAACTGCAGAGTTGTAACAGTTTCATTTTAATCCAAACTGGCATGTCTCATCCTCATGGGACTAACCCAGCTACTAGAAATGTCCTCATCCTTCCAAGGCACAGAGGAAGAAGACATGCAGCTTCTGTAGTTAGACAAAAAGCTTCATTCACATAGGAAAACTAAATGTGCCCAAGGAGCTCATTTTCTGGTTTCAGGAGAGGTGGGAGAGGAGTTGATCTCTCTAGGAGGTAGCTGGCATGTGTGTAAATGTGGTGTTAGCTTTCTTCTCTGCTCTATTTGTGTAGAAATGCTTCCTGAGCAGCTGGGTAGGATCTGACCCAGAAGTGGATTTGACTCAATAGCTTGCTCTCCTGTGGGGTACTGTGGTGCCTATGTTAAATGATGATGCAAGAATTTGCTTTCAATTCTGGATACACAATGTTTTTAACATTGTTAGAAAGGGAATAGACTTTTACTTGTAAATTTAATTAACATAGTATCAATCAACAGTTTCTTCTTCTACAGTATAGAATTAGTGGTATATAATATTGCTTCTTCAGTTTCTCAGAGACAACACATTCGTTTCCTCTTGCTGTTTTCTTTCCTGTGTTCACAGATAAAATGAGGCAAGAATTGCCTGCCTGCACAAGCCTGAGATTCTGAAAAAAAGACATCTCCCTTATCTCAGTGCAATATAGCCAAAACACACAAAATCAGTAACTAAAAATTGGGATAGAAATAACTTAATCGAGTAGTAAGTGTTTATGTAATTGTAAAAGCTAATCAGTAGCTGTGGTTTGTTTTTTTTTTTTCTCTTCTCTGTTATCATTACTTCCCATTTATTGGCCTTTAAATTTCAGAACTCTTTCATCACATAGTCGTTTGATGCTGTCTTTCTGCAACTCTTCCATATCAGCTGTAGTTTCAGTGATTCCCAATAACCTTTGCAAATTTTGATCCTCACCCTTCTCTCCCTTTCCTAAAGTGTTTATGGAAATGTTGAACTGTACGATCATTTGGTACACATTCCAGCTGTCTGTCTTTGACTGTGGAAAACCAGTAACTTCTACCTGCAATTTTTTATCTTCTCTATTAATGTAGAAAAGGACCTTCTGTACTATTCCTTATCATCTTAGTTTCTTCCAGTGTGTTTGATAGCTTTTTGTAGGCTTTTGGGGAATTACAGGGTGCTGCATTGAGTAGATCAGTCATCTACATGCTTGCTCATTCCTTCAAAGAACTGTGATAGACTTGAGGCGTGATTCAGTAATAAGACCATGCTGACTGTTCTCCAATAAAAAATACTGACCTGAAGATCTCTGTTAATTCTTAAAGTTTCTATGAACTTGCTCTTCTGTAATTGTTGAAATTCTTGTCAAGTCTGTTATTTGTTTGATTTAATTGGCATCACACATCATTTTCCATTCCTCTGGTGTAGAGACCAAACAAGTTAATGTTTGCTACAGTTAATGATTTTGTATTTCCATATATGAGTTTCATTAGGAGATGGTGCTAATAATGACTCTTCACGATTGATGCCCTCAGCTTTGTTCCAAAACCTTTCCTACAGATAGTCCCTTTGAGACAGATGCTGAAAATTGTTTCATGTAAGGAATAGCTCCAGTAAGTTCCATTCTAGCAACGCCAACAGTCCTCATGAAGTGTCTTCAAACTATCCATCCCTATGTCACATTCCATTATTTTATCGTTCAGCTTTATATAAAGCAAGTCATAGCCTGTTCAACTGGTTATTCCTAACTACCTATGTGAAGATAATTAACCATAACTCTACACAGATGGTTGCCTGGAAGCAGCTGATCATCAATAACAGCTTGTACGTAATATAACCATATAATTAACCAGCTGATCATCAATAACAGCTTGTACGTAGGTGCCCACATAAACTGCATGCAGGTAGCTGTTGTTACATCAGTTATTGTTTTGGAGTTTGTTACGTGAAAGGAAGTGGAAGTTGCTGCCATCAAGCTCCTCTTAGCATGCTTGTATTCAAAACTGAGAACCTCTTATTTACATTGAGATCTCCTCTGTAAGTCTTGAATCTCACTTGTATGGAGCAAGATTCCTTGTTAGTTGCTAGCGTCTGGAAGTGTTCAATTTTGTTCAAATGAACAGAGTAGTTGGTGTTAGCAAGTGAATCTCTTCATTCTGACAGAAGACCAGGAAAATTTGTGTGGTACCTGAGGAGTTACACAGTATTGTAGACTCTTTCCTTGTCTATTTAATTGCAGTTTGTAACAGGGAGGAAATTTTAACTGTTCTGGGATGATCATTAGAAGGGTGTTAATTAACCAAATTATTGATTAGGCATATAGCATTAGTGCATATTGTCCCACTACAATTTTTTCTTATTGAAAAAATACTTTCCAAAAATGTCTCATGGAAACATCTTATTCTTCACAATCTGGAAGTCTTAAGGTGCTATTAGTGTACAACAGAACTGGCAGTCAGGATCAAAACATCACGTTTTTTAATAACTTTATAAATACTTCTAGATTTGACTTTTGGCTTTTTGTCACACTTTACGGTCACTTTTGACTCTTCTTTCATTCACTATTTGGTGCCATAAGTTTGCTTTGTACAGTAATGCTATTCAAAAATTATTCTACAAAACAGGAAACTAAAATTTTGATCATTTTGCCTGTCTCCTTATTTTGGTTCACTTGAATGCTTTAAATGGTTTTTATAAGGGATTGCTTCTTTTTACTGTCTTAATTTGGTACTAGGAGAAAAAGGTGAACACTAATTACTAACCTGTGTATTGTTTAAAAAAGAAGAATGAATGCTATTATTTTGCTGTATTTTTTCACTTCTATTTTACTTATTTCCTTCTTGACAATCGTTATTGCAGAAATTTCACTAATGGCTTTTATCTTATTTTTATTATTGATAAATTTCTTGGGGTACCTCATAAGGAATCTTTATGAATGAGAGTCTTGTGTTCAGCATTCATTCTTGAAAGATAATTCCTGCCTAAAAAGAGTAAGTCATTAGTTGCAATGGGCAATGCTGTTATTGGTGAACATCCTGAGATTGCTCATTTGTACTGAATTAGTTCAATTCACATGGCTGGTATGAATAACTGAATTCATATCACTAATGACAATAACAGGCAAAATATATGGTCATGTTTTAAAAATAAATTAAAAATTTTATATGTAAAACAAAAAATAATAATAAAGCAGCCTCCAAAATACCAAATGAAAATACTTATGTGAGTATATATTTGCCACACAAATGGGTGATCAGTGAGTCTGGAATCTTTTGTTCCACAGCAGTCCCTAAAGTGCTCTTGCTTTAAGTGTCAAATGCCCTTTCGGTGTGCACTGGTGGAACTGGGAAACGAATAACACAAAATAACCAGATTCCATTATTTGCTCTGTCCTGGAAGTTTACTAAGCCAATTTGAGTGATGTGTTAAAAACCATCATTAATAACAATTTTTAATGGATTATATTTTGCGAAATTTAAAACCCAAACTTAGTGCAAATTTTGGAACAAGAGAAGTCTAAAGACTATGCGCCTCTCTGTTCCAAGTCAGCTTCTCCCAGATTCTCTTCCTGAATTTAATATGAAGGCTTCATACCTGGCAAAGTCAATAGGCCTATTTAGGGATGAGTATCAATTTTGAATTGTCTGTTTGGCAATTTGAATAACTTTATGGATAGGCAGGTGGGATATGGGGCGTGCTTATTATTTTTGTGCAGGTGGCCTCTCACTGACTCCTGCAGGATATACTGAAAGAATTTGCAATGACCGATAGCTTAATGATGGGATGATAAATTGGCTTAGTGGTTCAAGTATTCACACACAAATTTGTATGTAGTTGCTAATTATGTGCAACATAGTGAACAATTAAAATGTTACTGTTTAAGTTCTTTATATTCTGAAAAATCACATTTTTTAACTCCAATTCTAAAAAAAGTCTTTATGATGCTTGTGGTTCTTATGTTGGTGCTGGAACTGACTCATATAATATTTGCAAAGCAAATATTAATTGTTTTTAGTGACCTTTAATAGCTAGCATGGAATATGTGATTTGAAACTTAGGCATCTGCAGCCATAAAAACCTTCTCTTGTACATAGCTTTTTTTAATGTCAACTTTAGAACTGATTTCCATTTGTTCTTTTAACATAAAATTTTTTCTTGCAGCATAAAGTGACTGTTCTTCAGTAAACATTGTCTTTTTAAAATCTGTTATGTTTTACTGTAGGCAAATAATTTCTGTGTCCTGTATATTTATACTGTCCTGTATATTTATACTTGAAAATAGCTTAACTAGCTCTAATTCTTATTATTTCAGCCTGGAGTTCTAGGATACTTTGAGTTCAACGCTTCACCTCAGCCGCCTGGTTATTTAACATTCTTCACGTCAGCATTACATTCATTAAAGAAAGGTAAAAGCTTCATTTTCATAAGGCAGCTGTGAGTGAGTTGCGTATATGGGCTTCAGTAGATTTTTGCAATATTTTGTAACTTGGGAATTAATCCCTTTTGAGTGTTTCTTGATGTTGATCTAGTTATGAGACTTTGATTACAATGCAAGGATTGTTTACATAAGACGCTTATTATGTATTTTGTGATCGGCCATCAGGGAATAAAGTGTATGACAGGCTGCTATTCAAGGATACATTAAGATACAGTTTCCTCAAAAAGCTAAATGTGTAGCTGCAACCCCTATAGAGCGATAATCAGACTAGCACTTATTTAAGTTGAATCCAAGAGTGTTTGTCTTGGGCAAAAATTGAAATGTCAGCTTCAGAGGCATCGGGATGAACTTCACTTTGTTGAATTCAGTTACTAACTACTGACAAAGTTCTTTCCTGGATGGAGTTATAGAGCTGGTACAAGGTAACATGATGAGAAGGGCTTCCCCCCCAGCCCCCCCAGTTGTTTTGCATTAATAATCTAAAGTACAAACCCCCCTTATGTTTAAATATGCAAACTTTGTATATGATTCATACCTTTTGAGGGTCATAAATTCTGGATAGAACTTTCTTAAAGTTCAGATTAGCGCATGTTATGGATATTTCTTCCCATCAGCAAATGAAGGAAATGGATACCATTATTCTGATTTTTACTGTACCACTGACTTCGTATATGATATAGAGCCTGTTCTCCTATATTTTGTTCTGTAATTTCCCAGTTTATTGTTGGGATAGTTTTTTGCAATGTAAAGATTAGACGCATTCTATCCTTATGTGTACATATTTATAAATATAGAAATACTAAAATATATATTTAAATAATACATATTTACTGTAAATGCACATAATCTAAACACTCAATGTTCATACCTTTTCCTTACGTATATATATGTCACCTTGGCTTTTGAGATACCATAACATGTAGTAAGGTGCATCTGCAATACCAGATTCTGTATTTAATAAGCAAATCAAGAAATTGGACAATTCAGGTTAACATTCTTTATATGTTGAGTGCAGAAGAGGAACATGTTTGTTCTCAATGCCTGTTTTTGTTGTCTTTCTTCTACCTTACTTAATCACTGATATTGGCAGTTGCTATTCAGTAAGGTTTCTGTGCCTTCTCAGGCATTCAGGAGAGAAGTTCAGTGTGTATAATTGTATTTAAAATCTGAAAATTTGCCCTTTCAGATTACCTTGGAACTATACGCTTTGGAGTGATCACAGATAAACATGTTGCAGAGGAGATCTCATTGGTGCATTCAGGCAGCGTGTATTTGCACAGACATGTCAACACATCTCTTGTGAGTATTGTATTTACTTCGTAGTGACTCTGAGACAATACATGGAGATTGAAGCTCTGGCGTAGTAGACTATTAATAAGTGTTTCATAGAGCTTTACGATGTAGGATGTTTAAGAACAATATTTTTGTACAGTAATACACATGGTCATTCTACCGGTCAGCGGTTGTTCTAAACAGTAGCTAAGATGCAAGGTGATCATCTCTATCAAACCAAAACCCAAAAACTCAGAAATGGCTAGAGTAAGTTTGGTAAGACTTTTTCCTAAAACTTCTACCTCTTTCAGTGGGTCAGGATTAGAAGGCTACCTGAATGAGGGTATGGAAATAGTGAAAACTTGCATTTCACTTTAAAGGTATGGCATTACACTGATGAGAAAAAACATGCAAATTAATTTAATTGAAAATTGATAGTAACTCTTAACCCGTGTGCCTTGGTTTGGGAGGACTAAGAATGAAAATACTAACTTTCAGATTTGCTATTTGGTATAGAGACCTTATCTATCCAAACTGCTACCATGAGTGGAAACTCTGAAAAAAAGTATTGTAATGTGTATTTCGTTCAGTGAGACTAGGGAAAACATTGACTTCTCAGGTTAAATTACTGGTAAATACATAAAACTATTTTGTCTGTGCAAATGATTTAAGACTAACTTGCCTTAATTTATTAAAATGACCCTAGAAGCTGTGAGTGCTTTTTATTACGCATTTCTTTTCCCCACATTCAGTAAGAAGAAATACCAGTTTTTAATGCAGTCTTGATGTTGAGGTCTTAAAAGACTAATTTAAGATGAGTTAATATCATGAATTGGGAAAAAGTTTTCTAATATTCTGTAAATCAAGATACATGATGATACCAACTCAGAGACTGAGCTCTTTCACTTATAAAGAAAACTTTTTCTAGTGAGAAAAGTAAAAATTATAACGATGTAGTAAAAGAGAGAGGAGCTTCCCTGGTAGAATATTTTTTGTCTGAAAGATTGTGTGTGTTACTATGAACTGATGAGTATTTGGAAAGATTTCCCAAGGGTAAAAGGGTATTTGAAATGCTGAAGCTCGCTGAGTAGTTAAATTTAGAAAGGGTTTTAGGCAGTAACAAAGCATGCCACATTCGAGAACTGCATTCGTTACTAAACCATATGTTTAAGTGAGGACAAATAATTATTTTTTTTCCCCCTTCAAGATCTATCCAAATGAAATCATGAACTATACTGCTGAGAACATTTGCAAGTGGGCTCTAGAAAATCGAGAGATGCTCATACGCTGGCTGAGACCACATGGTGGGAAAAGCCTTCTTCTAAACAATGAGCTGAAGAAAGGACCAGCACTTCTCATATTTATACCTTACAATCCCTTAGCAGAAATTAATCCTCTTTTAGATGAAGTAAGTGAAATAATTATTATTTTACTTCAAAAATACTAGAACTTGAGAACTCTAGACTGGGTTCTGAGCTTAATTGTGACACATACCTCTTTTAATTTCACTGTTCCAAGTATTCATTTTTATTTAAAAACATTTTCTCAAGCCATATTATCACAACTGGTTCGCACCCGTCACAATATGTTGTCTTCTAATGTTAACAGTTGTTTAGAACAAGCACCTCTTTTCCTTGATTCTTTTTTTCCTGTGGTGAATGCTGTGAGATGTGCACATCCTTAGTCTTCTGTTCCAGCTGACATAGCTCAAATGAAAGAGCAAGAATGTATTTGGGTACTGCAGGACTTGTTTTGTCCACCCCATTCTATTCTTCTCCTTCCTTCTTTCCAGAGGTGGTTATGTAAGGAAGAATGGACCTTTTATTAAACCAGACTTTCTTCTGAAATACAGCCCAATTGAAAAACTCCTCAGAACTAATCTGATTTTTATATCCTGTGCTTTCTTTAGTCGCCTTCCAGTTTTCTCTTCCTCTGCCATTATTTCCATTTCTGAACTGCCTAGAACAGGAGTTTGTGTAGTGGTGCAGTAAATGAGATAGGGAAACTAACTTGGCTGAAAAAGAATTTTTTTCCTTCGGCTATTTTTCATCTGGAACCCATTGTCCCATTTAGTATATCACACAGCTGTGCATCATAGTGGTCATTGCATAGCACTAAGGACAAACTAGAAATAGACACAGTAAAAGCTCATCTGCTACAAGATGGGGTTGGGGAAATCTTTGTGGAAAGACTGGAAAAGAACTGCAATTATTCTTGTACTAACCCATCTTATTTCTGGCAGACTTCAGTGATGCTTGTTACAGATTAAACATTCTAGTAACAGGTACCAATTACTTAGATCAAATCAGTGCAACGTAAGATGTTCAGTTTCAGCTTTCGTTCTACTAAATAAGAGTATCTATATCAAAATGCGAAATGAGATGCAAAATATTCCAGTTATCTTGTATAGCTTCACTTTGATGGATATTATGCAACTTGTTTACCATAGGAAGAGATGTTTACTGTAGCCATCCTGTGGGTTTCATCAAGCAACAAAACCCCTTGACTGTAAGGCAGTTGCAAAGAACAAGGCTGTCAAGTTGTATGTTGAAAGCTCTCAGAGCAATTTTTTTTTCCTGATGATCTCACTGAAATGAGATTTCTTATCACAAGTGTGGATTTCTGGTCATAATAACTTCTCATGTTTCTCTATGTAGGTAATCAAAATCTTCAGGCTAGATTATAGTATGAGGAGTTAAGTTTCTTTTAAGTATTTAATTGAGTGTTTTCAGGATGAAAACATCTAACAAGGATTTCTTAAAGACTGTAACAAACTGTTGCTCTTGGCCACATCTTAATATTGATAGTCCTGTGACACAGCAGCTTTCCTAGATGTGATGCTTCAATATCCCTTTGATAAATATGATTCCTATCAAAGTGTTCTTGTGTAAGGAATGTTTGTGTGTTCTGTATGTTGATTATGTTTAATGTGATCAATGAGGATGAAGGGAAACTTCCACTTTCCTTTTCCTTTCCTCTATGTTCTGTTATTTATTGCCAAGAAAGGGAATTGCTTCTATGGTCCGTACACATGCTTTTCTCACCGCTTGTTTCCCCTTGGTTATGAAAAACAAAATGGTGATGCAGCACAGGAATGTTTGCACTGAGAGGCAGGCTTTTTTATTTATTTTCTCCTTGTATTGGAAAACAGGGAAATTCAGGAACCTGTAGTGATTAATGCTTCGTGTGGTGGGATTTAACCTTAAAGTATAGTGTTATTGCACTGTGATAAATATGATACAAAGAGGACCTTCAGATCAGTGTAGCGGACTGAAAAAAAAATTGAAGTGGCTTTTTGTTGTTCTGTATGTTTCAGATATTTCAGCATGTAAGAATTAAAATTTAACTTTGTTATGAATTCAGAGCCTCCTATGATTTTTTTGTAAGAATGAAGGTAAAGAGTAGTCAACTTCATGTTTCTGAAATATCATTTCTAATTGCATATGTGTTGTTAAACATGCAACAGAACTGCATTTGAGTGAACTATGTACTGTTAATCTTGCTTTTTTTTTCTTTTTTCCCCTGTGTAGATTACCAAAGTGGCCTTGGAATACCACAACTGTAATAAAAGCCAAGCAGCTGAGCCAGATCTTCAACACTTAGGAGACAGTGATTCACCAGCTTTTGATTCCTCTGTACCAGATGCACATATGAAATTATCAGAAACATTTTCAATAACCAAGTACCCATGCTGTAACACCGTGGTGCTTCCGCAGTGGCATTCAATCTCTAGAACTCACAACGTCTGTGAGCTTTGCGTTAACCAGACACTTGGTGTCAAACCAAATAAGGTCCATGTGCCACACTGTAACTTTTTAGAGATAGAAGCAGCTTTGGACTCTTTCTACCTCCAGGAACATACCTTTTTTCAAGTTATATCAAATACCATAGAATGCAGCAATTTCTTAAGTTTCTACAGTCCCTTTAGCTATTACACTGCATGTTGCAGGACAGTAAACAGGCATTTTTTAAGTTTCATTAGTTCTGAGAAGACCATCCTTCAGACCCCCAAAGTAGCTTTTTCTTCCCATGGGAAGAAAGATAACACCCAACATTCTATTCCTCACATTGAGGATAAGAATTGGTTTATTCCTGACCTTCATATTAGTGGCACTAACATTACTGGTCTGAGCTGCAGGACCAACAAAACCTTGAATCTCTATCTACTGGATTCAAATCTTTTTTGGATATATGCAGAGAGACTAGGAGCATCAAGATCTAATCATCTTAAGGAGTTTGCTGCTATTGTTGACCTGAAAGAAGAAGTGCACTATGTCCTGGATCAAAAACAGTCACTTGTTGGATCTACCCTGGGTATGATATCCACTATACAAATGCTTGAAATAAGAAAATTAAGTTTGCAAGTAAGCTTATGAATAGAAAACTTAATGCCATGTTGAAAATTACTGCTTTTAAAGTGAGACTATAGTCAACACTGTGAATCTTAATTTATTCTGTTCTATTTAGTAGTTAACCACGTAGTAGAATCTTGTTCTAGATGATGTAAGAACTAAGTTTCATATACCAAAAGTAATTTGCTTTAAAAGAACTGAACTTCAAAATGTGTGATTCTTGACTGCCTGATGCATTGAAGAAATGGGTAAAATCTAACCTAATTTGCCTGTGGAAAAAAAAAAATTACTATGCATCTAACACGTTTGATATTACAGAAGATATTTGTACATTAATGGTGGTGTTAGTGTTTGCTCTGCTTTTTTGTGTGCTAAAATACTAAAATAGAATTTTGTGAGATACTGCCCACTTATCAGCAGCGACTAGCCCTTCCTCTTGTCCTCTGAAACCAACTTATAAATTGTTTTAAATTTATTTTGAAAAATATGTGTTTTCACGGTACAGCTTTGAAGTGGTTTTGGCCAAATCTGTCAATACTCTTTTTCCTGGATGAATTAGAGGAGGGAAAAAACAAAAACCCCAAAACAAACAAAACCCCAACCAACCCAATGACTGCAGTTCTGATTTGTTTGCAAGTTATTGAATAAGACACAACATGCCTAACCACATGCATTTACCTATCATGATGATGTGCAAAACTGAGCCATCTTCAGAAAATACAGGTTTTTTTAATGTTAGCCGTGTAAGTAAACATGGAAGTAAATTCAGGTGAACATAGTATTAAAATAAATTGTTCAAGAAAGTATATCAATATAATTCTTATAGCATTAATTAAATTTCTATTTTGTCATAAATCTGTAAGTACAAAAGTATGCCAACATAGAACAAATAGCCATGATCCCATCCAGGCCTGTGTCCTGTCTGTATCCCAGCTGCCCAGAAAAACACTCTGGAAAAACAAACAAAACCCCCAGTGACCAGGATTCAGATCCTAGCGAGGAGATACAAATTTCCTTCCCCTTCCTGCTCCCAGTACTTTCTGTCTCAAACGTTCTTCAGGACACAGGATTTCCTGAGCATGACGAGGGTTTCCCTGCTGAGTAACGCTTGGTATATTTCTATTCCGAGTCATGTGAACTTCCAGAGAACTTTTGCTTCTACATATTTTGTCAAGGAGTAACTGTGATTTATGTTTAGTTTTTGTGGAGATCTTAAAATTTTATTTTACTTCCATAAACCTCTTAACTTTTGATATTTTAAAATAATTATACAGATTTGTCTTCAATACCTTTAACAGATTTCCATTTTTACAGCTGGTTTCTTAAAATTCAAGAGTATATGTCTTAGTTAGTGCCTTCCTTTCAGTTATTACTTAATCATGCATAGATATTCCAAATCTGGAGATCTAGAAAGAAAAATACTGTTTTGATCTGGTGTGAGAATTTAATGAAATGCTGAGTAGTAAATATAAAATTAAATGTACTGCTGTTTGCATTTCTTGATGATCTGGTATTTTGTATGTATGTACAAAAGGGCCAGCTTTACTTGGGCCTAGTTTTTGGACTGGAAATATCAGCACAAGATGTTTCTATTTGATTAAATAATTTTCAGTGTGTTTGGTACTATATCTTTTGCCTTGATTATTGAATGCTCTTATTCTATAACACATAGAATAATATTTCTTTATCTAAATTGAAAAGAAGGATACAGTCGATATCTTGCAGCAATTTAGAGAACATGGTCCAGGCTCCAAGTAGTGTAGTTGAAAGCTTTGGAGCTTGTTCTAAATTTTTTACCACTGGCCAGCAACTTTTTAAATATCTTAAAACTAAAGAGAAAGTTGAATGAAGAGGAAGGTGGTCACTGGTAAACAAAAGGTGGCCGGTCATATTGGCATGGGAATAGCACAGTCTTTAAAAGTCTAAAGCAAAAGGAGAATTACAGTGAAAGAAATAAAAAATGAAAGAATAAATGCAAATAAATGTGGAATTAAGTGGAGCCTTCAAGATAAGGGCCAAATACTTCAATGCTATGTAGAAAGTGAAAAATAGTGAGAGGATACTATTTATGAGTTACCAGGTGTGTGGTTAGATTAGGAGGGAAGAGAATTACTATTATAGTACATTGGATAGGATTAGAAGCAAGATTCTTCCGAATTTCAAAGAAAAACTGCCAAAATTATGTATTTGATGAAAATGAAATAATTTTGTTATGTATCAATTTCATTTCAGAGAACTTCATAAAAAATTTCAGTATTCTCTACAGTCCCTTGAAAAGGCATCTTGTTGACGAGCCTTCAGTCCATTTTCATGAGCAGCGTGTAATCACTGAAGTGACTACTAATACCTTTCATGATACCGTGTTTTTGAGTGACAAGGTACACCTCATGACTGAAAATGGTTATTGCAAATCATGGCTCAGACTTTTGAGGGGAGGGTCTCATTCTTTTTTTACATTGATGTGCTTTGCTTCTTTGTAACATAAAATATATTATTTTGTTACAATGCAAAAGTGTGGGTTTTTAAAAAAAAAACAAAAAAACAAACAAACCCAAACAAAAACCAAAAGGCAATTCAGAACAGTGTGGTCTTAAGTAAATCTGCAAATGATCTTTTGGTGTTAAAATAACCAAAAAGTCAGTGCAACTGATTCCCTGACAGGTTTCTGCCACAGTTCAAGATTTGTTGGGTTTGGGGGGTTGCTTTTGTTGTTGTTGTTTTTTTTATTAGGAGGGTGGAGCTGTGCTTTTTTCCTGTGTGTTTGAAATACAAGTTTTAATTAAAAAAAAAAAAAAAAAAGTCTGTGACTTGATTTTTCCTTTTCCTTTCTTCCACTGTAGCAGGACCATGTGCTAAATGCATAGGGTTTGAGGTAACACTGAAGAATATTCTGATTGCTGTACTACATACCTCAAAGGAAATAAATATAGTACAAGTTTTTTTCTCTATATTACATTTAAAAAAAAAATTACTTTAAAGAAATTTAAAAATTATTGCAAAGTAGACATAATGGAAAAAAAATAGAGAAGGTTTTAAAACTAAGGCATTATTTGAAAGCACACAGCAAAAAACCCCACAACTCTCACAGGTAAAAGCTTTCCAATTGCATGCCATGAAATTGCTTTACATAAGATGTCATCCTGAACAGTGGTTAAATTACTTTGATTTCTTAAAGATGTGATAGTAAGGATTAATATTTATTGTCTTTGAGATCTGCAGTGAATGTATACATCTCCAGTAATTGGTTTTCAGCAGCCCTAACTCCTGTTTTGCCTAGTTAAAGGCAAAAAGCAGAAGTCTAGACATCATCTCCCCCCTCATCCCTGTATGAAGTATATTGTCACTGTTAGATACATAGGAATTTAAGATTGCAAAAGAATCTTGGGAAGCGTAGTAAGGTTTGGTGCATTTTCACTTATAGGGAATGATCCTAAACTAAATAATCCTCTACATTTTGTCTTTTTCTTTATGGAAAGAGAATTCCCCAAGAGCTGTGTGTTGACTCAGTAGACAGAGGGCATCAGTAAATAGCTTCTAATAAAGTTTATTAGTTTCCTGTAACATTTTAAGGGTTCTGAGTTTTAGATGTTGTGAAGACCAGTCCTCCTTTACTGCAGATTAACTACAATAGATAATCAAACTCTTCCCCATTTAATTTTCCAGAATGTCTTGCTGCTCTATTATGGACAGTGGTGTGGATTCTGTGCTTCTCTTAATCACATCTTTATTCAACTTGCTCGGCTTTTGCCTCCAGATAATTTCACTGTGGCAAGGTAAAAAAGATTCTAATTTCATCTCTCTAGAATAATGTAAGTTCATTGAGGTCATCAGCCTAGAAAATAATTACTTTTTTTCTCTCTACAATCTTGCAATAGTAGATGTGAATGTCATCTGGTTCATTTCTCTTTGAATGCATTATTTTGTTTTCCTCTGTGTAAATTTGATGGGTTTCAATCTTACTGCAGTAGTTATGCAGTTTAATTAAAATGATTTTTTAAACAGTGCAGTTAACCTTGAAGCTTCCTCATTTCAGGAAGCAAATCAATAAAACAGCAGCAGCAAATAATTTTTACCCCTCTCTCTGACAATTTGAAGCAAATAATTATATCCTGTAGTACTGTATTTGATAAATTGTTTGAGATAACCCACAAAAACATGCATTTTGTGTCACCCTGGTGGGCAACTTGCTCTCTTGCCCCCACTCCATCTCCAGTGGGACGGTGGAAGAGAAAAGAAAGAATAAAACCGAGAAAACTTGGAGGTCAAGATAAAACAAACCGAAATTAATTTTTTAATAAGTGAAAGAGAAATGGAAGGAGAGAGAAGAAAGCAAAACAAGTGATGCAAAGGCAATCACTCGCCACCTCCTGTGGCTAGACCGATGCCTAGATGGTTCCCAAGTAAAAGATGGCTAACCCCCATAGAGCCCCCTCTTTTCCTCTTTTATTGCTAAGCAAGACATTGTATGGTATGGAATAGCTCTTTGGTTAGTTCAGGTCATCTGCCTGGTTGTGTCCCCACTCCTCAATGTATCCACAGGGGGGGCAGAGTGAGAAACAGGGGTGGCCTTGGTGCTGTGGTGCTGTTCAGCGGTAACCAAAGTATTCCTATGTTATCAACACTATTTTTATCACAAATCTAGAACATGGCACCATACAACCTACTGTGAAGACAATTAACTCTATTGCAGCAAAAACCACTTTATAGGCATATATTTATATATGAATGCATGTGTGTAATATAGATACATTTTTTTCATCTATATTAAAGTATATTTTTATATATGTAAAAAAGACATGGTTTTGTTTGGTGTTTCCAGGGTTTTTAATGTTTCAGTGCAACCTAAACATTCTTGTTCATGTATTTCATAATACATTAATACTTGCATCATCTGCTCTGGTTGCATCCTTGTTTCATTCTGACTGAATTAGGAAGAAAATTCAATTAAAAACCTGGAGTTATCACCTTTTTATAATTGTGGCTTTATCCCACAGATGTAATGCTACTCTCAAATGTATACCAATTCTTTTTCCTGACTTTGATGTTCTCTCATTTGCTCCGTTATTTTTGTTGCTGTATTACTGATGTGATTGTCTATGCTTTTTTCTGTAATAAAATTCTAATAAATAAGGATTCTATCTGTAATTGAAGAAAATCTAAAAATGTAGAGAAAAACATAACAAGCAATTGAGCAAGTGTTTCATGCACAAAATCTTGTGTCCTTTCTAAGTAGAGTTTTAGAAAAAAATGTACTTTAAGAAGGTGCTTAAGCAAATTCATTTACTCCCAAAAGCACTTGAGGGGAAAATATTCACAGAGTTGTACTTGAGGAACAAATTCACAAATAGAAAAAACTTCAGCCTAGTGTTGAAACTGTTAGGCAGGTCTGTCTGTTTCAGAGAAGAAAGATGTGTACACAATAAAGATGTGTACATAATGAGTGACTGGGGAATTTAATTGCTGAGTGAGAGCAGGTGGAATACTTTGCATATTTTTCTATCAAAAAAACCCCACAGATATTTGTTAAACTGAGATTAATCATCTTTTTCTCAAAAGTAGGCTGAAACAGCCGAAGATACAGTTTTGGTGTTATTCTCCTAATCCAACACTTTTTCATTAGCTTATTGAAAAATTGATGATGATGGAATGTTCTCAGCTAGTTTCTCTGCAGAGATTCCAGCATTGAGGAGTTCAGTAATACTCCTTAAAAAGGAAAACCAAGCAGATATGCTTGGGATTGTTTTTCATCATTCATAAAAAGAAAAACTAATAATTAAAATACTTGTTTGAAGTTTTATTCATGAGCTAAATGTTATAAATTGGTTGCTGTAGTATTGTAGTTATGTACCTTATTGTTTGGTTCCAACAGTTTCTTCTATTTATAGTCATGAAAAATAAAATATAACGATACAAACAGGGATGAGTGATTAGCATAATGGATTTACTGATCAGACTATTTCTTCAGAAATTTCCTCTCTTCACTTTCAATAAGTATAATTGTTTTTTATTTAAAGAGAATTGCAGCAGCAGAAAGTACGTCCCTTTGGTGGCTTTTGCATTTTGTTTCAAGTGATATGTCTGGCAATAAACAATGTTGCTCCCCTTTGTTCTTCCTTATTATCTTGAATATTGGTAATTAATTCTGCTAACTCATACGCACAACCTAGTTTTGACATAACGCATTTAGACTTACTTTCACAGATACTTGCATTTCCTGCTTCCCGATCCTGAAACGGCGTTTTACAAGAAAATAGAGATTCTTCATGTGCCTGTTCTCTTCATCATTGTGTCTTTTCTTAACAGAATTGATATCACTCGAAATGACCTTCCATGGGAATTTATGACAGACCGTCTCCCAACCATTTTATTTTTTCCTCATCAGAGGTAATGTAATTCTTTTCCCTGTGGTTTTTAACATTCATTTTACTAAGTTAGAATACTTATCTCGTTACACGTCTCACTAGAGGAAAAAAGCCAAACATTTATTCATTTCCATATATGCATTCTTAATTTATGCATATTCTAATTTAAAAAACCACCACCAACAAAACGACAACAAGTAAAACCCCAAGAGACATGGATAGCTGATGGTATGCAGATAGTGAATGTTCTCTCCAAAGGTCACTATTTAATTGTTTGTAAGTCTTCATGTATGAACAGCAGCATTACATTCTTCAGTTATTTTTTCTTATTATTTGGTTGTATTTAAAATTATTCTTTTGGTATGGTCCAAATAAATTAATGAGTGACTACAGGAGGGGGAAAAGGGGGAGAAGTGATGTAGATGGTGGTGCAACATAGTTCTAGTGCAACTTGTATCTAATTGCTTCTAATTGGATAAACTAAGAGAGATCTCAATATTATAACGGATTTTTGCAGTAAAATGCAAGGATTTGCTTGCTGTGTTTGTAATGAAGATAAATAAAAAATAAGCACAGATGGAGAGTAAGTAATCCAGCCCAAGCTTAGTGTTGTTTAAGAGAACAAACTAACAATCCTGACATTACAGAGGGAGAGAAGGTAGATTGTTACATGTTGTGAAAAAAAATTGTACTTAAAAAAAAAAATAACACGGAGAATCTGAGTACTAAAGGAGGGCTTATGCGTCCTTTGGAAACATTACAGTGGTCCTGATTTGTGAATCTTTACCTGTCCCTCACTCCTCTGTGGTAGAATGAGTGTAATGTAATCAGAGGGACTTTATAGAGTGTTTGTTGCTCAAACTGAAGTTCTTTCAGGTTGTGTTTCTGTCATTGTTCTAATGTTTGGCTTTTGCGGGGAATGTCTGCGTGTCTAGCTGTACCTGTATTTTGGATATGGGATTCTCTGGCAATCTGCATAAACCATGGAAGTGCTCCGTCAGCTCAGAACTAGTCTAACAGTAGCAGAGAGAATGACTTGAAATACTTCTGGCTTGTATAAGCTAACTAAAGGAGATGCTAATATCTAAAGCAAAATCTCTGACCTTACATAGAATAGGAATGGCACTATATGTAGAGATAGGTCATATCTTGGCCTGATGTAATAAAAATAAGGGTTAAATTTTCCTGTTTTATATTTCATTTATATGTCAAATTTATTCCCTTTCATATTGAAGGAAGTTTCATATTAAAGGAAGAAATTTCATATTAAAAGAAATTTCAGTGTTTAAAATGTATGTTAAATAAGAGGTGTTTTCATTCCTGATAAAATCAGAATCATAGAATTATTTTCTTTTTCCCGCTTTTGTGATATTATTGGTCTTGTTCGGTGACTTCATTGTGTTGCCATAAAAGAGTATGAAGCAAAAAAAAAACCCAAACAACTGTTACAAATGTTATGATCAAGTAGAAAGAGAATATAATAGAATCATAGAATGGTTTAGGTTGGAAAGGACCTAAGAAGATCATCGAGTTCACCCCCCCTGCCATAGACAGGGACACCTCCCACTAGACCAGGTTGGCCAAGGCCACGTCCAGCCTGGCCTTGAACACCTCCAGGGATGGGGCCTCAACAACCTCTCTGGGCAACCTGGGCCAGTGCCTTACCACCCTTAAAGTGAAAAACTTCTTCCTAAATATGGGATGGACTGAAAAAAGGTAGTTGAAGAAGCAGAAGTATGACACAGTAAGAAGATTTACTTAAAATGAAAACATTCTAAAAATTGTTTGAAAATTGTATAAAAGTTATTGGAAGATTGTCATGTTGCATGGCTAGAGAAACTGGAAAACCAATTGCAAATACTTTGGGGGTTTTATTGAGCTGTTCTACTGCAGTGTTTCTTAAACATAATTATTTTAATATTTTTTTTAAACTATAAATATTCCACATGGTGTGATAAAGTCTTCAAGTGAAAGCTATGCTTGAAAGTAAAGTTATTTCATGTAAGAACTTCCTGTGTAAACTAACACAGTAGTTACTGAAATATCTTTTTTTTCTTTCTTAAAACAACACTTATTACTTAACTATTTCACTTGGGCATAAATACATTATTTTCAAAGTTCAAAAAAATTTGCTGAAATAAGCAAATACTTTAATTGTCATTAGTGTCCTTAATGCTATTGACTAATTTTTTTAGCAGTAATTAAAAAAAAAAAAAATTACAGAGCATGGCTTTTACAGATACTATAGAATTACGTTGTGGGAATTTGTGTATATTGCCAGAATGTTTTGGCTTTCATTCTGACTCAGTAACAAGTGCTGGACTTTTCACAGGAGAAAAGTAGCAGCAGATTTGTTGGCGTTATAGAGAAGCCTTGCATTGTCTCTTTAAAAGAGAAAACAAATGAAGCTTCAGTAGCAGTTTTAACACCTACAGAGGAAAACATCCAAAGGAGATAAGCAGTAAAACAAGGTGTACATGCTGTTGAAGTGAAACTATATAGCAAGACCTCCAAGAAAGAGGCAAGAAATGAGTGTAGGACAGGGAAGTGTAGCTTCAAGGAGACAACTAGGATTGAGAAAGCAAGCCGTGTGGGAGGAAGGGAATTGATTCATGAATGGGTGAACAAAAAGAAGCAAGACAAAGGAGGGTGGGGTAGAGAAAGGGACAAAGTGTGGGTCAGGAAAAAAAGGAACTCTAAAGTTTAGGCTGTAAAAGGGCAGGAGGGTACATTTAGGACTGGGATGGGACCTGGAACATTAGATGCAAGCGAGCCACAAGCTTTCAGAAGTACTCAATTTGTTGTTTCAGATGTGGTTTTGGTGTTATAGGTATGCCCTATGCATTAGATTTGATTGACCTTGGGTTGGTTTTTTCTTTTATTTTTAAAATATACTCAATCTTACACAATTACATTTTTTATAGAAAGGAAGTGAAAATAAGCACTACAATAAATACCTATCTCTTTGCAAGATAAAATAAAAATGTTGATTTCTACCCTTCTCCTTCAAGAACTCTGTCATCCATCAGCAAATGGTAATTCAGACTATTGGTACTGTGCAGTGTTACCTACCACAAGATCTTTAAACTTGTGCAATTCTAAATTAATGTTTTAATTAAGTAAAGAAATAGCTTCATTTATATGAATTCTGAGTCACCCTAACCTCCAACTCATCATCTCCCCTACTTTGTGCAGTAAGCCTTGCAAATCAGCCTCAGATCAGACTCCCTCTGCCACATCCCTCCAGCTCAGTTCCAGTCCTTTTCTGCTCCCTAGGTTAATTGAGCAGGAATTTAGCTGGAGTACAGTTCCAAGGTGTGTGTCTGTCTACATAAAGGCAGTGTTACCTTCAGCCGCTGCTTAGCAAAAGCTGCAGTCTTCAGTGCCAATATCCCAGTCCAGTTACGCATCAAGTTCTGCAGATTCCACTGGGTCTCATTTTTGCACATTTTCCAGCAGACTCTTCATCTCTGCACAGTCCATGAGTTCTGGCTGGCTTGAGTGGCTACAAGCAGAAGACCTGCTGGTTTAAAGATGAGTAATCTCAATTTTAGTTGAGATGAGCCACATGTGTTTCATGTGCTATTGACAAGTGAGACTAGTAGTAGTAGTAGTATGTGGTTTCTTCTACTCTGTTAGGTCAAGGGGCATAAGCTGAAGATCTAGATCTAACCATATTAACAACAATTGGAATACTAATGTGATTAATTTTAGAGCTGGCAAAAGTTAGAAAGTGATTTCCAAATATTGTTGTGGCTACTGTTTTAAGACCATTAGTTAACAGTTCCAGTTAATAAGCCTCACCATACTATTTGGAAACTTGAGTCAAGTGACTTTCTGCCCACTTTTGAACAAGGATGTAATTTGCTGAACCATACTTTCTCAGGGATAGAATGAGTGTCATATATAACACGAAGAAAAGGTTTTTCTTGAATTATTTTAAGCATAGCTCAAACATGTTTTAGACCGGTAAAACAATTTGTGGTAAGTGAAGCTTCCTGTAATACTTACCGTCTTCCCTGTGTTACTACAAAGTCTGGTGTTCCCTATTTCTTTTCACAGGTACTCATTTTGCCTTGGTCTGCTTTAGAAAGCAGGTCTAGGCTGTCTCTGGGGTGACAGACATAATAGTTTTAGTAAGATTGTTTTCGTAATGTTCCAGTTGGTTTCATAAAGGTACCTTACCTCTAGTCATTTTCTCTCCTGCTTTTCCTCTCCAGTGTGTTCTATATTTTGCTGCATCTAGGTAATTAAGAAAATTAGATTTTGATAGTATTTGTAGTATTAGTAGCACTACTAGAGTAGTCATATATGAATTTTGGATATAAAGGTGCTTCATTAAGACTTTCTGTGTAGCTCCTTATGGATTTGCCTTATGAGACAATTTTTGCAATTTAACTCTGTTCTCAATGTCATTCTACCACGTACTGTTAATATTTTGTTTTGCTTTTTGTTTTAAATAGCCTTTTAGCTTTTCTGATATGTAGTGTGGTTTTGATCAATAAGAATGGATGATGACATAGTAAAATATTACTACTGTATAAGTCAGTTTTGTCTTAGTCTAGACTATTTTTTGCCTAAATCGTGTCATGATTCATTAAACTTGGATGTGAGCTGATTGTCATCTGAGAAACTGCTGATGGTAATTACAAGACTAACTTGGTTGATCACCACAAGTCTGCAGTGGAAAAAAAATCATGTCGCTTATGCTTCCAGAAAGAGCTTAATTTTGATGAACAGGAACCTCATCTGGCTGAAGTTCTTGAATTATTGATAAAATATGGTATCTGTCTTATACTTGAAATACAATACATAGTTCTGAGTAAATGAAACTAGCATATGTTTATATCCCATATGGTAATGAGTTGCGTTTCATAGCAAGCATTTTTGAGGCAACTGTAGTTAGTAACTAAATGCACGCCTGTTCCAGATGCACAGTGTAAGCAATTCGGAAACATAATGTCACACGTGGGTACATAGGAGTTGTTCATGGTGTGTGTACAAGAGCAGCAGAGGTAAACTTTAGGCATTATACTTGAATCTGGCTTTCTTGCTTTGGAATAATTTTTGGTTTGGTTTATCCTATGTCCTTTTTCTAGTACGTATAATTAAGCCATGTCTGCATGCATGCGATGTACCATTAATCTGGTTATGAATTTAGCAACCAAAGGGAAGTAGACTTTTCTTCTCTGTTTTGATGGCTCCCTAATGAAAGAGAGAAGGCGAAAGATGATACAAAGTGATAAACTATTACCTGGCTTCCCACTTAAACATAGTGAAGTGTAAGTAGCTCTACTGCAATAGTCAGGAGGCAGCAAACTCATGCTATACTGGAACACTTATGAGTGAAAGTTGAAGACTTAATTGGTTCAGAAAGAGAAGTTTAACAGTTAGTTCCTGTCTAGTCCTCTGAGGAGAGTTTAGCCTCCTATGTTTTGTGATAAGGTATGCACATTGTCCAAAAAGGGCCATAATTTTAATATTTGACACAGCTGAAGGTTGTAGATGTCTTTTGGTGGTTAGTAGTCTTCGGGAAGAAATTTGGTACTTTTTTGGTCTTCAAGCAGCTTGGACTCTTGTCAGATTAAGAGTAACACTTTATACTGTTGCAGAAAGTAGTGGCCCTGCCTCTTCATATGCTGGGCTTTGTATTTGCAGTCATATAACAAGCTTCAGGGGAAAAAAAAAAAAATCCACAACCCAAACTTGTTTGATTTCTTGATCATCTCAGTGGCATAAAATCAAAGTAGTAAGAGGAACAATTATAAAAGATTTTTTTTTTTTTGACAGCAAAAGGGCCTTGCTTCTGACTAAAGTGATGGCTTGCTCTTTAAAAGCAAACTGTATTTTTCTGCTCCTTGCAATACCCTTCTGCTGTTGGAACACATTAAGCTACTTCTTCCAGGATAACATATATATGCTCAAAATAGTTATTTCCTATCAGATAGCTTTATACATCTGGACTTAATTTCTACCAATGCATGTAGAATTAGAAACACTTAAATGCTCTCCTTCAGCTTATTAACAAATGTTACTGTCAGTATGCTCTGATCATATCTGCCCAATAGTGATGGTACCATACATAATTTAGGCTCATACCCTGTAATTGAGATACTTTTTTTTTTTTGAGTAAAATCTGTTTCATGAAATTTGATAGAAAATTTTGCTCTTAGACAAATACCAATCTGGTGCAGAGATGCTTACAGCACTCGGACTGGAATACAGGTAAAAGAGTTCATCAAAAGAACATACCGAGCTTACTACATGAGTTCGGGTTTCTCTTAGCTGCTGTATTAACCACTCTTGATAAAAATAACAAGATAACAAGTTGGAGTTGAACAGCAGATGCTTAGACAAAGTTACCATTGCTTACCTATCTGAATGTTTTAATATTAATTTGTTATTTCTTTCTAGGAAGGAACAAAGTGTGAAGTTTCCTGAAGACTTTTCAGTTAACCTTCCTAATCTTCTTAAATTTATTTTACATCACTCAAGTCTTTCTTCATCAGAGCCCTGTACCAAAGAATGTCTACATAAAGAGACAGTTCTACAGCAAGGACACATCTCCCACTTAGAGAGAGAAATTCAGAAGTTAAGATCAGAAATCAGTGCCCTTCATCAGGCCCATGACCAGCTTGAAGCACAGCTTTCTGAAGCTAGGAGAGAGGAACATAGACTACAGCAGCAAAAACACACACTGGAAAAGCAGCACAAGACTCTGCAGCTCCACAGTGAGCAGTTACAGGCCACATATGACCGGAAGAATCAAGAATTATTAGAAATGGCTGAAAAGCTTCAAGAATTAGCTGATGCATCAGAAAATCTCCTTAAAGAGAATACTTTACTGAGAATCCTGGTGACATCAAGTGAAGGAAAGCTACAGAGCAAAGATGAAATTAAAGAATCCCTTCAGTCAGAGCAAACACTTTCTGAAGATGATTTATCAATTTCAACAGCTATTGCCACATCAGATGAAAAAAGGATTGATAATACTGATACCATAGAGACAGAGCACAGTAGTGGAAACAGGACAGAATGATTACATACACAAAGTCAAATGATGCAGTATTGAGTAGGTATTTATGCAAATTTTATTGAAATTAATTGTAAATAAAGACTTCTTCCCCCACATGATCTAGAAAAAGAAAAGTCAAATGGAATATTTTTTGTATACTTGAACAACTTATGAGATACCCACATCTAAAGAGAAGAGGAGTATGGAAAACACTTTCTGCACTTTACTATTGCACTAACTTGCAAACACACCTATCCATTTAAATTAAAGATGCTGGTTTTCAGGGGCAGCAGTGTGAAGCACCTCTGACTAAGGATCAGTTATTTTTCACTGGCTTTTTCTTACAGCTGCTAGAAGAGAAATTAGACCTTTGATTTATACTTTTCCATAATTTCTGAAGTTTGCCCTTTACACTGCATTCTCTTTGCTGAATTAAAATAGAGATACTTCATTTGTGTAATCAGTAAACGTGAATGGACAAAGTCATCTTGCTACAACTATTCTGTTCTAAAACTTCAACACTTTGTATCACTTTTGTATACCGGTTATCTGTCTTGCAACCTAAGAGCCATGTGTGAACTGTTCTCTACTGAAAACTAAAAGTCTTACTGAATTAATCCTTTTCTCCTTGATTTGTAGGAGGTCTAGAATATAGCAGTAAATGGCTATACATGCAGGTGTCGTGAGACTATTATCTTAAACTGAAAAAAAAAAGTGCCAGGGTAAGAACAGCCCTCTATCAGCTGTACCCCAATACTGTACTTAAGAGGCAACAGTAGGAGCTTTTTGCTACTGACAGCATTAATTTTGCTTCAAATTATAGCCTTCAATTATAAAAAAAAAGGCAATCGTGGCACTAAAAATGCAAGTCAACATTTTACTGTAGAAGAAAGGGACAATATTTCACTGACTAGGCCATTATTGTCTTGCATATAGTTATAATTCTCAAGCAAGCTTCCTAGGCCTATGTTACTTGATTATTCCATACATACAGGTACAAGAAGCAAGTCTAATGTTTCGTATAGAGCTGAAGAACTTGGGCTTCAGGGAACAGATTTACAGTAGCTTTTTTTTCTCCTAGGCAATTAAGTGTTTAAAAATTTCAGTAGGCAAAGGAAGCTACCTCTGAAGTCATAGAAAACAGGTGAGTGGCCTCAAAACCATGTGTGCCTACCTTAAGAGTTTCACAATACATAAGCTGCCACTCAGTTTTGTTCCCTCTCCTCCCCTTTCTGCCCCCTCTCCTACCCCCCCCAAACCTTTGAGGTCCAGAACTCCCCATTTAACACTTTTTTTTTTTTTACAGTTCCTATAGCTGAACTATAGCACAGAGCAGGAAATGAAAGGTATGTCCTTATTTGGAAGGACTTTGCCATTGCTAGCTAGAAAACTTTTACAACCTGACCAGCAATCTCCCTTCCCATATCAACATTTGTTTTTGTAGGAAAGACTGAGGCTTATCGTGTAGTCGTACAGTTTAATCAAGAGCATTATCTACAAGATCTACTGAATTCTATAGTTGACTGTTTGTCTGTAGACTAAAATGCCTTTTTACAACAGGCTGTTAACATACACCCCAACTGCTAAGTACACAAACAGGGGTTCTAGGAAGAGTTCATACTAGTTGCACTTAATGCCAGTTTTAATAGGTAACCACTTCTGCAGTTTCAGCATGCAGACCTACAGAAGAGAAAAGCCTGCTCTACTGCCATTTCAAGCTCCTGGAAACCTTCTGGACCATCCCTGAGCATTCGGTATCCATCATTAGTTTCCAGGTTGGAATCCATCAAAATGGCAGTTTCCTTGCAGTAGCTACATAGTTAGTGAACTCAGCTCTAGCAGTCAAAAGCTTAACCTACCTAGCTGCAACTAAAGGAGATCACTTTCATTCTTACAGCTCCTGCATTTCCTCCCTCAATGTGTTACTGAAGGCTTTACTTTCTTTTCAAAGAAAGTATTCTGCATCAGTCCAGTAAACTGTTAAGAGTAGGAGTTCTGACTTTATGGCTGTGCACTCAAGCTAGTAGCAGAAGCAAGCTTTAACTGCAGATTTGGTTTTGAAGGCCTGGAATCCCATCTACAGTTGTGGTTCAGGAGTCCCCTTGTGTGTTATGTACAGCTGCATCATGTTATTCCTGTATGCTGTAGAACACAAAGCAAAAAGCTTCTGGCAGCCTATTTACAGTTCACAGTTGTAAAGTAGTTCACATTACAGTAGTAGCTCCATCAAAATAGGCTCAGCTAAACATTCAAGTAACAGAAAACACTAGTAGTCTCTTCACACCAATATATCCCTGTGTCCATTGCCGGCAACGGACATTACACCAGGTGAGTCAGCTCCTGTCCTAGAGGAATTAGGATACACAGTTGATGCAAAGTGCAACTTCTCAGTGCATGCAGTTGCAAACAAAGCTTATTTAATTCTCGTCAGGATGTTTTCTGATGAGTAGTGTGCATGTGACCAGGTTCTTCACAGTATAGAGATTCTTTTGCTGGTTACACACATCATAAGCATAGTCCATATACATGCGTTGCTCCAAGTTAGCTATGTACTTCTGTGCCATTTGGAGTTAGCTTAGCTTTCCTTTCTACACAGGGTCCTTTAGCAGAGTACTGCACCAGAAGAAAGGGCTCTTTAGTTTCTCCTTCACCCACAATGCTTTCCTCATCTTCAGACTGGCTGATCCTCTGCAGTCGCAGGTAACACCAGCAGCCCAGTATCAAGGCACCAAGAGCCGCAATAGCAATCAAAATAACAATAACAGTCACCACTCCAGTGGTGGGGCTATGATCCATGATAGACATGGTCAATATTTCAGATTGTCGGGCTTCTTTAAGGAGATTCTTCTGTCCTCACTCTTCAGGCTTGCTGCATCTTCAAACTCCTGCAGTGGAAAAAATAGACACTTACTTAATGAAGTCGAGCAGCTTTAATATACTCAACAACATTATATTCATAGTTGGGATTCTTCACAATGGCACAAAACCCTCTTGCATTCAGTGCTTCAGGCTTCTTGCACTTGTACAGTTCTTACTCATTTTAAGCTATTTCTTCAGTGAACTGGCTTTGAAGATGCAGGTTTCTACATCAAACTAAAGCAAGTGAAAGCTAAACTTATTCCAGCTCTTGACATGCTTGTCAAAATAGCACATGGTCAGCCTGCTAAGAGGTAACAACACTTCCTAGGAGACAGAAGATGAGACAAGACACAGACACATAGAGTGTATGGAAGTTCCTCGGTTTCATATAGATTTAAGACTGTTTAACACAGATGTTAAATCATGGGTGAGCTCTCAAATCCACAACAAGGTAGCAATTCAGCTACTTTTAGTTTTCCTAAACAGTGTATTTGAGTCAGAAGTCTGGCCCTTTCTAAAATGTAATTTACAAAGGTGTTACATAATAATAGTTCCAGGGTTGGTAAGCTAACAGCAAAGCTAATTGCAATGCTATAAGACTGTCCATAACACTAATCTGTTTATAGGGGTTGACTACATGGTAACTAATTGGTTGTTCATTGAACAGATCTTCATACAAACCCCTCAGAAGTCAGTCTTAACCAACCTTGAGCCAGAACCATTAGGTTATTGTGAATGTTATGCACTGCACTTGAATTCTCACCAGCATTTCAACATGAAAGAGTCAAGGCAATTACAGTGCAGTATCTTTACCAACAGAACTCAAGCTAGAGCCTAAGTTTATTCCCTAACATCTCATGGAACAGCAGACCCATGCACACTGCCACAGAGTGATTTCAGCAAGTGTGCATCCACTAACAAGAAGTTCAGCATGTGTGTCATTAGGATTCAGTGTTACATAACTAAATCGCACGTACTCTGGCTACATTTCCAGCCCTATAAACAACAGCAATCAATAGCTTCTAGTGTACCCGATACAACCAAGTCCTGCAGACCAAATTTCGCCCAAGTAAGAAAGCAAAGCAGAATTAACTACACCACACCCCCTTAGTAGAGCTGCATACCCACTGCAGCCAGAGATGTGTATGACTTCTGTCATGATCATCTTGGTTCTGCAATCCTTACTCAACACAGGGTGATCAGCTGAGAGTGATTAAGAGTGACTTTCATGTAGTTCATTTTCCTCAGGGCATGTCTGAACTGCAGCACTGTTTGATCTAACCACAACAGTACAGCATCAGCATAAAAGATGGTTTACCATGCTGCTCATGCAGGCACTGCACGCCCACATTAAGCCCTCTTCTGCAGCTTGCACAATTGCTAGCAGCAATGACAACCCACAAGCACTGTTTCTCTACAGCAGTTTGGTGCAGCACATAACCTTACATGAGAACTAAACAGTTACTGTCACTTAGAAAATAGCTTCTAATACTGGAAACCAGCACTGCGCGCTGCCCCTCTGCCAGACTTTCAAGTGAGCAGACAGCATCAGCTATACAAGGTATGAAACTCTGCACATCACCATCCTCTGTATCACCAGGATGTTTTGGCAAGCTTTTTTAGACCTCAGCATAATAGCTAGCAAGGCACAGACCTTCACAACCAGTCTTGAGAAACAAGTTTGAAAGCAAGAGCTAGATGTTAGGTCCAGGTAACAAAGGACCTACAGCTATCTGGACTGAAAGAGAATATATTTCTCTCTTCCCCTTTTTAACAGCCACAAACTGCAATGGTCTCAGTTTGACCTGGAAACACAGGCAGGTCTGTAAGTTCTTATCTGAGGGAGAAATGGGGCTCTTTAAGGATGCAGACCTCTGTCCTGAGACAAAGCTTTCTCTTACCAGGTTATACACTGGGCTCTTGCCATTCCCGTTTCTTTTGGGATCCTGAGAAGTATAGCTGAACCAGGAAGTCCACTGTTTGAGAAGATGCTTTTTCTGAATAAAGCATCCACAGGAGCAACTCAGAGGAGTTATGAGAGGTAGGCATTTATTGCAGTCCTTGTGTGAAGAGCTGCGTAGTACTTCCTTAATTCTTACTGTTCTTGGACACTCCCATTTAACACCACAATTATGGCTTAATAACACTGCTACTGCTTGCTTGAAGCTATGAGGCAATTTAAGCCCTACTTCCACATTTTGGAAAATCCTGATATTATACTATACAAAGATCAGACCCAAGTCTCCATCGGTCTTATTTCTCAGC